ATATTCCTATAAGTTTTGAAGATAAATTTTTCATCCGTACATTTCTATTACGAAAACCTTTTCATTTTACCTCGACTATGAGACCCCTCCTCAATTGATGATTGTTGTCCTCCAAATATGTTTGATTATGGTCTTGTTTTTGTCATTTTTCTCAATTTATATGATAAAAAGCTATGTTATAATGCAAATATTATGGAAGATGTTGATATTTTTGTGTTATTGTAATGTCCATTTTCTTTTCAATGTAGGATCGGATACAAATTCAATATTGATGGGTTCTATCTCAAAACCAACTGACGATCAGAGGATCAGTAACTCGTGTCTATTATAAACCATTCTAACGTATTTTTTCTTTTCAATGTGGGATCCTTGACAAAAGTTATCAAATTTAGAATTTAAACGTGTGACCTTTTGGATGCGTTTATATGATCTTCATTTGGTTGGTGTGAAGAAAATGGTAAATGATCCCTCGTCTAGCTAAAATTGAATGCTCATATGATTTTGTGCACACCGACGCTGCAGGTGATGGGCATGGATTCTGGTGGTTTTGATATTATATACTTATCATCTTAGAGGGTGAAGGTCAAATAAAATTGTCTAAATATGATGTTTTTTTTCAGGTTGAAATCTTTCTCCATTGTTGTAATCTAATATTATTATTTTTAGGATAAAACATAACATATATTAAATAATTAAAAACAATGGTAGCTTCAAATATCTTCCTAATATTTGCTAACCCAACATTATTCAACCGTTGACAAATCCTTATTTTCTTTAAGAGATCATGATCATAGGTTCAAACTTTCACTCATATATTTACGCTTACGATATTATATTCTATAAAGAGTTAAAATTAAATTCAAAGTTAAAAAAAAATCAATTTTAAGTAAATGATACCATATTAAAATTGTGCAATCAGCAAAAACCAAAATGGTATATACCAATATAAAAATAGTTCAATTAATTAAAACATTATATACTCGATTACAAATCTCCACCAAAATAAAAATAAGAAATAAAAAAACAGTCGGCTAAAAAGAATTTTGGAATTTAAGAATATTATATTTAATATTTTTGGGTTATCGATTACTGAATTTCGACAAAGATCTTTTTGTTTTTTTGTTTTTTTGTTTTTCTAATACAATTTAGAACAGCAAGGTCTTCTTTTACCCTTTTTATTTGAACCACTCCTACATTTTCCATCCGAATCTTTCTATTAGAGTTTCATATTCTGAGTTCTGACATCCACATCGTGTCCATTTAGAAGAAAAGGGTAAATTAGTACATCTCTCTGTGATGATGTCATCTAAAAGTCTATTATTGTGAATATTTATAGAAGCGTGACATTTTGGTTAATATTTATGTTACATAGTCTAGATAGGAAAATAACCCTAAGAAACGATTGCTGCCATCAATTTTCATAGGGAAGCCCAATATTTGAAAAGTTTAAAACTCTATGTTTTTTATTTAATCATTTAAATTAAATACAACTGAATTATTTCTTCGTTATTAATATGTTCCACACATTGGGATTTTTTTAATTTGTTCAATTGAAATCAATGTAGATTGAATTTGATTAGATATTAACATCCCATAATTGTCCCCGAGACTAACTGAACTAGTTAATACATAAATTCTAAACCAAAAAGGATGTGGTTTCTACCTTTTCTCCAAAATGTTGTTGTCCTAATTTTTATTTCTCTTGAAAATTAAAATTAATTTATTTACGTAATTCTAATTTTAAATAATTGCTTATGGTTATCTCGATGTTGAAAAATATTAATAGATATTTATCGATGTATTTTTCAACCGTTATAAAGTTAAAGTAAACTATAATGTTATCTGGAAAAAAAAATTATAATGTCAGTGTGAAGTTAAAGCAATGCATATAATAGCCATGTCAAAGCAGCCACAGCTTAGTGGTAATTGACATATATCTCCAACCAAGATATTGTGAGTTCGATCTCTCACCCCTACATGTACTAAAAAAATGCATATAATAGCCATATTTTTATTTTACTTTACATTGTAAAATAAAATAAAAACCATGATTTTAGGTTTTTTTTCTTTTTTTTTTTAGCAAGCAAGTGGGAGTATGAGATTCGAACTCATGACATCTTAATAAAGACAGTGTAATTACTGTTGAGTTACGCTCAACTCCGTAATTTTAAGTTTGTTTTATCATATGGTAGAAATAAAATATTAATAATAGTCATATAATTTGAAATGCATTATTGAATTTTATACAAAATAAGGTATTTTCATACTTTTATTTTAATAATTTCAATTGATCTAATAATTACTTGCATTATAAAATATGAACTGGGCGGAAAAAATAATATTTTGGTTAAAAAAAAATTTCTTAAGATATTTTATATCATATATGTGAAAGGTGTGCATTAATTTATCACGATATTTCTTGGGTGTTACCATGTGTACGAGGGGGGCAAAAAATTAAATTCCAGATATGTATTAAGCTGCACGTGCTTATCCACCGTTTTTTTCCCCCGGCAACAGCTTGATATCCACCAATTAAATTAAAAGATAATGTACTCAAAAAATAATAATAATAGATTAACAGATATCGCGAAATGTTTAAGCTTAATTATTTCATTTTAATGATTTTTATTCTATAACTCATATATATATTTTTTCCTCAAAAAAAAAAAAAAACAAAAAAAAAACTCATACATATATTTATAACCTATAGCTATATAACCAACTTCTAATTATTGTGGGTTAAAAAAGAAAACTAAGCGGCTAAGACATTGTGAATATTCTCGTGAGAGTGGAGGTTTACTCTTCTATTCTCATAATTTGTTTATAGTCAGATCCTACGAATCTTCTCAAAAATTATAAGTTTGAATTCTCATTCATATGTATGCGACGTAATAATCTAGAATAATTAACACAATTTATGTATAACTCGATTAATTTCACGTGAAGAAAATCTTTCAAAAATTTTAATATCCACCTTCAAATATGAACTAAAATTTTAAAGTTATTTTACTTTTTCACTTGCCTTAATAACGATTTGACCAACTCGCGAGTGTTCACCCAACAAAAAGTTTTTTTTCCTTAGAAAATGAAATGTTTTTTTTTTGTCAAATGGTTTTTCTTTTCTTTTGTTTTTATAAGAAGAAAAGAGACAGGTCAATATAATTTATTTTGGAGTAAAAAGGAAATCTTCGAGTAAAAGAGACAGCTCAGTATTTGCCTTTGTTCAAGGTTGGTTGAGAAGATTTATTTTCATTGATGTCGATTTAGATCCGAGAACTCTTAAACTTTTTTGCTTCTTATTCTATCTATTTCTAGGGATGCTCCCTTCCCTACGCTGGCTTTATTTTTGTCTTTTTTTTTTCAAAGTACAAGATTATGAAATTTGAACTGAGGTATCAATTATTGCTGAACTGGTTTATTTCATATGGATAGTAATAAAGCATTTTCATAAATATAATATAAATATATGCATTTTTTCAAATAGTTAAACATGTATTATGGTCATAATATTTTGATATATTTTTTTATTTAGTCTCTATAACATTTTTCAATTTTATATTTCTTGTCACTAAGTTTAAAAATTGGATAAAGATAATTAAGTTTACGTGACATGATATTTAGTAGGTGGAAAGAAATTTAGATGATGAACTAAGTTAACCTAATAAAAAGTCAAAATTTATGTCAAATTCATATAAAATTTTGAGAAAGACTTAGCAATTTTCATTTTTATGTTATAAAAAATATGGGGCGAAGATTTGTACCATAAGACTTTGAGGAATGAGTATATGCGTTAACCATCGTGCTTATGTTGGCATAAATCCTCTTTTAATGGGTTTAATTATTCTACTAAATTTCTACCAACTCACTAAATATCATGTCATATAAGTTTATTATCAACCAATTTTAACATTCACCATAGAATATGTATAGTTCAAAATTGTTAAGAGTATAAAAGGGACGAAACTTTTAATCAATAAGTCTAGATTTAAAAATACCTAAAAGTAAGAACTAAAATATATATATTTATCCTTCCATAAAATTTGAGGTTTTACAAAAAAATCCCTAAAATTCAAATATGGTATAAAGCTCAGTAATAAAAGTAAAACTTATACCATATTGGTAAAATAAAATGAAAAATAATCGTGGTTAAATTTATTTTATATAATAAATGTATGTTTATTTCTGTTTTCATTATATTGTGAGTTCTTTTTTTTTTTTTAATACAGTATGTGGGGATAGTACTTCTAATCAAACATAACTACTTTAATTTGCTGTGCTATATTCAGGTTGACAATTACATCGTGAATTGTCGTTTGTAATATTTGTAACACTCATTTATTTATTAAGTTTAATATACTTTATTTATCTTGAATTTAGATTCATTTATTTATTAAATATAATATAAACCAATTAATTAAAATTTACTAGGAGATGAGTTATATACTTGTATTCACATAATTGAATATTGTATGTTTTTTCTTAAAAGGAAAAAAGAAAAAGAAAAGAATACTGTATTTAGTAACTATAGAAATAGAATTAACAACGATTGAAAAGTTAAAATGTATAATCTAAAACTTTCAAAATTTATGGACGGAATTGAAATTTGTTATAGCCATATATTAATAAAACTTTTATTTTTCTTATCATCGATTTTTTTTTAGTTCCTTATCATTAAACTGTTTAATACATTAAAAATGGTGGAGACCACGTACGATTAATTGAAAAGAAAAAAGGAATCATTAAAAAAAAAAATTCAACTTGAGATTCTCTACAATGCATTTTAAAATTTTTATTGACAACTCAAATATTGATGACAAATTCATTCAAAATGAACATATTAAGTACATTTACTTAAAATATAATAGAAGTAATCTCTATTTTCTTAAAAGTAATTAAGAGAAGGGGAAAAAAAATTTGCCGACTCAATATTTGTAAATAAAAAAATTTATAAATACTTTCGAAATGATATTGTCCTGTCGACAGCATTTCCATCCCCCGAATTCTTTTGTTTCTCTGTCTCTGTCTGTTTCTATTCGCTAAAAAAACTTTGTGCATTGGAGCTTTGTGTGACCACTTTCTGATGGCCATCAAAAATTCCTTTGAGCAATGAATCCATCTCTGACGAAATTCTCTCCGGCATCACCTCGTCGCCAGACGGTCAAATCTGGCCGCAGTCCCGGAGGCCGGCGGTCCAATTTCATAACTCCAATGACTCCTCTGTTGCGGTGGAAGTTGGAGGACAAGCATGGATCTCGCGGCCGTGGCCGACTTCAATTCCGGGCCAGAAAGCTCGCTGCCGGCCTTTGGCAGCTCCATTACACGGAAATTTCAGGCGGCGGCGGCGGCGGCGACTCTCAGGTAACTTCCAAGAATTAAGAACCCAGTAGGGCAAATTTCACTTTGGTTTTGTCATTGGGGCTAAATTTTAAAGAAATTATTGAAGATCAGTTTAATCGAATCGCATATTTTGTAAATAAAATTTGAAAATTTTCAGGGAAATGGAGGAGGAGTAGAAGCAGAGCAGAGGTTACAGAGACGTCGTTGTTTTGATTCATCCAATAAAGGAATCCAGACTGAGACTAAGGTACCTTTCCCATTTCCATTTCAATCAATCTTTGTCATTATTATTCTTTTTCCCATCTTTTTTCACATGATTTGCTGCTAAAACCACGCCAATCTAAATTATTATAGAGATTATTGGTCTTTAATACTTTACATTTTATTGATTTTCTTGATTAAATTATTCAAAATCCATTTCATTGTGTAGAGATATTAATAGATTACAGTTAATCAGTATGTACTTTTTTGAACTAAAATTTGCATATGCCTCATTACTATCAACCAAAATGAGGAAAACAGGCATTTTAAAATGATTGGACACAGTGACAAAACATGCAAATAACCAGAAGAATCAATCCAATCCAATCTATATTCTGGATTCTTGGAGTTTGATTCAGCTCTTGATCTTCCTCGAGGAATCAAGCCAATGGATCTCAAAAGATTCCATAGAAAATCAAATCAAATCAAAGGGATATGCAATTGTATGAACCAACATGCATGTGATCAGTAATTATTAATTATTTTTTGTTAGATTAGACAAATTAATTGGCATTATTTAGTTGTAATCTTTCCGTTGTTTGAAATTGTAGGCAGCAACAACAAAAAGGAACTATGAAACCCCAGAGGTTGCAGAAGCGGCGTTGGGTGGATTTTGCAGCGGCGCCGGAGAGCAACCGTTGACGGCCGCCTCCGCCGCATCTGATCTGAAGGCAGAGCTGGCGATGGCCCAAACACGCATCCGCAAGCTAGAATATCGGCTGCGAAATTCAAGGAAAAAAGTCGAGCACTTGAAAGGGAAACTCGAAGAAAACAGAGCCTTATGGAGGAGCCGAAGGCATCTGAAACTCGGCGCCGTGGCCGACGAATTAAACCAAGAGAGAAAAACCCGTCACAGAACTGAAATTCTAAACGCCAATTTGGCAAAAGACCTGGCCGAAGCCAAATCCTACGCTAAAAAATACAAGCAAGAATACGAGAAAGAAAGGAAAAACAGAGAGCTGATGGAGGAGGTCTGCGCAGAGATGGCGAACCAAATTGTGGAAGACAAGGTAAGAGTGGAAGCTTTGAAAATGGAGTCCATGAAACTGTGTGAAGAATTGGAAGAAGAGAGGAATATGCTGCAAATGGCGGAGGTTTGGCGAGAAGAAAGAATCCAAATGAAATTGATAGATGCGAAATTGGCTCTGGAAGACAAGTATATCCAAATGAACAAACTCATCACCGACCTTGAAAATTTTCTGACGTCGAGGAGCGAGAAATTGGGCGTGATGGAGATGAAGAGAGCCGAATTGATCCATGAAGCTGCAAAATCACTCAACATGGAAGAAATTGAGGGATTCTTTTGCCAGCCGAAAAAACAGAGCCTTGTGCTGTCTCTGCTCGAGGATTTGAAGGAAGCAACCAAATTGGAGGGGAAATGTCAAGAGATCGATAACCCAGATGCAAACAAGTATGTTTCTGAGAGAAAAACAGAAAATGCTGAGAACCCATGTGATGAAACTTGGAAAAAGAAGGTAATAGATGGAACTAGTGGAAGGTTTTCGAGTGGATCAGTGAGTCAGAGGAACTCGGAGAACCCACATATCAGAAGAGAAACTCAGGGGTGTATCGAATGGCCACGAGGGATTCAGAAAAATTGCTTCAAGAACAAGCAGCCTCCTTTGGACGCCAGGATTCAAACCCAAAAATCTCAACTACGCCATATTCTTAGACACAAACTGAATTGACAATGACATGTTGTTTTCAAAAAGGCACAGATTTAGAACTCTTTCAGAACTCAAATGAAGAGAGAATCGGTGGTATGGTATCTTTTTTTACACCCATTTAATCTTTAGTTTATCGAACCAAATCGAATTCCAAAGGAATAAAAATCCCTCGGTGCAGTATTAATGAACCAAAAACATGTGAAGAAATAGTGACGATTACTTTAAATTGTTGCCACTAATTCAAAATTTGTTGCTGGAATAGAATCATTTCGAGGAAAAGAACAACCTTTTTTTCACCCATCTTCTTGCAGCTGCGTGTGTAAAGGGCCGTGGCCTTGGTATTAGTTGGTCAGGTCATTTTCTTCTAGGAAACTACAGACGACAACACAAAAACTTTGGAATTACTGATAAAATGGTGACGTTGGAATTGTGGCTGTCGAGAAAATTGACTCATCAAAATGTACTTTTGAAAGCAACAAGTTTAATCACGTCACATTAATTAATTATGGGTTTTTAGGAGTCATTAGGAATCTAAAAGAAGCTTAATCTTCTAAAGCAACGCCTACATTTTCGATTTTAATTACCTTCTCTCTTGTTGCTGTATGGATTTCCCCCTCAAAAGAAACAAAACAGTAATGGGCTTTTCTGTTCATTTTTCCTTTTAAGCCCGTCAACAACTTTACAATGAAAAACTATAAAAATAGACATTTTATACATATTAGTTTCAACTACATTCATGAACTTACCACTTTAATTGGATGAAACAAAAGGAAGTTGAAAACTTCGATGGAGCAGATGGGACAAAATACATCTCATCTAAAACTAATTTTGCTTTGTTAAGGATCCCACGTTGATAAAAGAAGGGACCTAATAATGGTTTATAATAGACATGAGTTATTCCTCTCATTGTCAATTGGTTTTGAGATGGAACCCATGAATATTGATATGCTTTGTCCCGTTACCCTTCTTTCTTATGCCACATGTTGGCAAATTACTCTATTGTCGTGTTAACATTGAAGTAATAGTATTAATTGGTCAAGACATTTTTTTACTAATTGAGATTGTTTATAGTTAAGAGACTTAGTAGACACGATCATTCAAGTTGAAGTCTAATTAGAGAAGTTGGGAATGATATATATTTAGATTAAGCAACAATCGTTGATAATGGAGATCATCAATCTTACCTTTGTTAAATTTTGACATATAACCATTGTATTATCTTCATCTGTATTTTAACTATTTTAAATTATTAGTTTTCTTTATTATTAATCGTGAATTATGGTGTTGATTGACTATTAAGTGATGAGTCATAGACTCACTTTAAGTAAATTGTAAAAAATAAATGTAATTATTAAAAAAAAGCGACATTTTGAAAAATATAGTAAAATAAATTGACTTTCTATCCAAATATGTCTTCTTTTTTAAGATAATTATGCAAATCTGTCTTGACTATAAGAAAAGGCTGCAAATTATCACAATTTCTACCAACCAATTGCACAAAAATAATTATATATATATTTTCATTCGTTTACTTTGTAAACGAATTACAGTTAAATATATCATTCGACTTCCTTTTTTTCCCCTTTTTTGTTTCATATTCTCTCTTTTATTTTCGTAGGAAAAAAAAAAGTTAAAAGATTAAAAAGAAAAACAAAGTGCTCCTTCCCATTGTCGATAAGGCATTGATTTGACTTAGTGCACTAAACATTCTTAGTGACATTAAATTAGAACTAAATAAAAAGAGGTTTAAATAGTGTTTTAGTCCCAGAATTTTTAGTTATGATTTATTTTGTTCTTATTCTTTTAAATTTAGTCGATTTTAGTTCTATACTTTGAAGAGTTTGATTTCTATAATTTTGACCATTTTAATTTTTGTTTGAAAAATTTCAATATAAATTTTATACACAATAAAACTTTTTAAGTTTTAGTATAAAGTTATTACTTCATTTTAAAAATGTTATCGAGTGTAATGTCGTGATTGAAACGGTCACCTTTAGAAGATACAATAATCAAAATAATGTTTCGAAAATATCAAGATTAAAATGAACAAAAGTTTAAATACAAAAGTTATAATGACCAAAACGAACCGAAACTAAAATTATAGAGATTAAATAAAGTAAGATAGAATTAAAACATATTCTTAAAGGTATAATGATTTTGATAATAGTAGTCGTCCAAAGTGGGAGAAGCACTAAGGCCTACCAAATAAAAACTCAACCAAACGATGTGATTTCAATCAAAGTGTCACTAAATTAATTAAAATGGCTTAAGAAACACAATGATTAATATGTCGAATGAAAATGACCTCTCGAAAATCCATTTAAAGCAAGTCCCTTTATTTCCTCAAAAGTATGCCCACACCTTATTTTATATGTTTATGAAATAAAATAAAATAAAATAAAGTGAGGGCTGAAAATTACCCAACATTTGAACTTGGTGGACTAAAAGGTACCAAGTTGGCACACATTTTAAGTAGTTTGTACTTTCATAAAACAAGGATCCTTATGTACACATGATTTCAAAATGTGCCAAAAATGCTACTCAGATCTTTATAATTTCGAAATAATAATTTAAGAACCATCGATGATTCGAATCTTTTTCCCTATTTTACTTGACAAATAACTATTGTTATTGCTCGATGTTTCGCTCAATATTGTAAACAAGTATTGCTTTACTATTCAAACTTCTAATAAATCAAATAATTTGAAAACATCATAAATTCAAAATTTTGTTGGATAAAGTTGTTCCAAAATGTTTGACAACACAAATAAATCACATAGTTCAATTCTGTAGTTAAGTTGGATTGTTTGATAAGTGTTTATTCCAAAGTTAGCCCTTTTGCTTTTCAAAAATTTACTTAAACATTTGACTTGAATTAAATTAAAAATGGAACTTTTCTTAATTTTGAAATATTAACTTTCATTTCTACATCAAATCAATCTATTTATCACAATCTTAAAGGTAGTTGGATTCATACCTTAATTGAACAAATTTAATTATAACCATAACAATGGAATTGGAATCTACACAAGTTTGTTTGGTAACATTATCCTTTCTTATTTTTGTTTCCTCGTTTCTAATAAAATAAAATAAAATTGTATGACCTTCAACACCCATCGATTCATGATAAAACAATACTTTTGTTTATGTTTGAGAACAAATTGAAAACGAAAACAGTTTCTTTATTGTTTCCAAATCTCTATATAATTTTGAGAATATTTCTAAAAAAATGAGAAACAAATAACGTAAATATTTGTCAAATGCTTAAATTTCTTAATAAAATTGAAAACGTTATCCGGTATCGTTTTTGTGCAACTATGTGGGGGCTTAAAGTGACGTTTGTGGGTCAATATGAGAAGATGCCAACTTAATCAATCGGTCAATTCCTAAGGCATAGGCATGAAATGGCTAAAAAATTGGTGAACCTAATTAGAAGTTCACATCAAAATCTTTGTGATTGTATTGAAATGACACCATACCCATCTTCAGCACAAAAAATAATGTGTTTTACTTATAAGTTTGTTGTGATCTAGATCTTAAAATGATCACATATCTTTTATAAATTATTCTATGTTTCCAATGAAATCAATTTGATAGACATTTCATCACGATAAAGTACTATTGATTTAATGTCTTTCCTTTCATATTTGATAAATTCATTCTATACTGTTASATTTCTCTCACTTTACGTAAGACCATGGTAGAAATTATATAACAAGAGTAAATAATGATGGTTATAATTTCACTTAGGATTGGAATTTACATGTAATTTAATCATGTAATAATCATTATTATACGATGCACCGAAAGAAATGTGTAAATATGGGTAGTCAAAGTCAAAGGTTGCTGATGAGGATGAACGATTGGACGCCCTTTCAATTTCCCAAGGGGAAAGATTCTCAATTACTTACTTTTATGTTTTTCATGCTCAATTATTAGCCAGAATATTCTCTCATTTTACAAAAATATTGAGATTTCTAAGTAAATTAATAATTTTATTAAATCTAGTGTTACGTGTCATGAATATTTTTGAGTTTTAAGATCGATGGGCGTATTAAAGAAAATATTCCTCATTAAAAATACTCGTAAGGAGGAAAAAATCCAATTGAACTTTTTCAGTTTAATTAAAAAAAGGAGATACTGTTTTATTAAAAGATAATGGAACCAGTTTGACATATACTTTTAAAATATATATATTTTTAACAAAAATAATTTTTATTTATGTATATGGTTACATTTTATTAAAAAAAGAAAGTACTTTTAACTGATTCACCAAATCACAAATATGTTTTTCTTTTCTTACCTACTTTAAAGTATTTTTTTTTATCAATCACAACTATGAATAATTAACTATGAAGTACTTTTTAATAAGTATTTTAAATCGATTTTTTAATTCTTTTTACTATTAACAAACAAGATTGATGTTTTAAAATTACTTAAAAGAATATTAAATTTACTCTGTATTAATTGTTCTTATTGAAAGCTTTCGATAATCACAATAAGGTCTTCAAGAACACTCTAGATAGAATCTTACAAGATGTGAGTTAGCACTCCGAAAATTTTGTCAATACGGAATTCTAGCAAAGTTTTTAGGTATATAATGTGAGATTTCACGTACCTCTCGTATCTATAGTAGTATATTTTCAATGACCATTGGTCTACTTCCTAACTTGTAGGCGAATAGTGTGCTAGGAGGAGAATGATGCAGCCATTCAATTAAAGGCTCGAGCGTGGAGGACGAGTTCTGCCCACTGGTGACCAGTTCGTCACTTCCCGAACTGGTCCTCACCGACACGGACCTGCACATGTAAACCTTTTAGGTGGGTTCGGATGACGTAGGGGGACCAAATTTTCGGCTGAATCATTAATAATTCTTCTAAGAGCGTGTTTATTAAAGTAGAGTTACTCATAAAAAAAACATTTGTTTTCATATAGCATCCCAAACATATATTTTGTTATTTTTATACCATTTGCAGGGAAAGCTTGGGGTGCATTATTTCGAGACTTTAAATATATATAGGAAAAAGACAAATTTGTGACAATTTGTGTGAATTTTGTATTTTTTTCTCTTGTAATAATGATATGTGTCAAAAGTCTAGAGAATTGAAGATGCAACCCAATTGAAAAATATTAGTAAGCATGCATAAATTATTTTAAATTCAAAGAAAACTTTAACAAATTTCTGACATATTATTCGCTAAATTCTCATGTGCACGAGTAATAGATATCTTAAAAGTAGATAATAGATATCCTCATTGAACATCTCGAAATATACATTTGATAAGAGAGTATTTGTATAAATATAAGTACTTAGGCACACAATAAGAAAATTAACTTTCAATGACACATGAAAATCATAGTTAGCATATTTTTAGGTGTCGGTAAATATTCAAGGATGAAATTACATTATATAAGTTATAAATGCCAATAATAAGCTCTATGATGAATTTGGCCAACATGTCCTTCCAAGTTTTCGAGTTAGATTAGAAGGAACCCTTTTACTAAGAAGAAAAATTGGGTGAGAATCTTCACGAAGTTATTGAGAATTGAATTATAACTCGAAACTAGATAAAGCCAAAAGAGAGAAGTGCCTATTTCATCAATTAAAAAACTTATCCAGGGTAGGACCCATCCTTGAAAGCTACCATTCCTTTTACTATAAACCCAAATCAAAACCATATAATATACATATTTAAAATATATATATACAATAATTTGAATTAAGATCTAGCTCTACAGCCCTATAGTCCCGAACCTAAATGAAACGACAAAGCCTCCAACACAAACTGTCTGAAACTTTACCATAGTTGATCGAAAAAGAATAAGAGGCCCCATGTTAATTGGGTACACCAAATCCCCCCTCCTTACAATAAAATAATCCCCTGTGATTCCACCCCACTGCAATCATTGCACGATCGAGCTGTAATCAAGTGGATCCAATTTCCCCATTATTTTCAAGTATTCAATTTCCAATACCATTGAAAAGGGTGTTTGAAAATTCAATTAAATGGGCATGGCATGGCCTGGCTTATGGCTATACTATGGGTTCTAATCCTATTTTTGGCATAATATGTAGCCTTTCATTTCTTGGCTGCTTTGGTTTCTACTCAAAGCCACTCTTTTACGTCCTGTAATTCTTTTTCGACCAAATTTGGGTAGAATATCACCCATTTGAAAAAAAAAAAAAAGAATGAAAAATTAAAAAGAGAAAAAAATAACATTTATTAATTGGAATGCCCCCCACAAAAATTGATATATGATTAAGCTTACAGCATATCTCCCTGAGACGGGGAGAGTTGTCCGTTGAATCAAAATTTGGACACTCCACATAGGATCCTTCCCGGTTGCAAAATATATGAATAAATAAATAAACAAGTTTATTTTATGTTGTGTGGGCCCCTATAAACACTTGCCTCTGGGACCCACGCCCAAGTGTCCTAACTCAGTCTGTCCAATCAGAACCCACAGCTTGGATTGTATTATAGATATTGGCATTTCTCTATCGCCCGACTCATCGTAATACTAAGTTTCACTACTCCAGTATTACAATAATAAAAATATGTATTATGACAACATTACACTAATTTAATTTTGTATTACTTATTGATTTGTTTTCTTGGGGTTTCCAAATTTAGTTTTGATGAGGTATGGTAAAATGGTAGAAAGTGAAGGGTAAATACGGATTTCTGTGTACTTCAATGTCATAGTACCCACATTTCGGGTGGGTCCCATCGTCCTTCTCTGAGCCGTCCAATGTGCGCGTCACCACGAACCCCACCCTTTTTTCTTAATTATCTTTTAAATCACTCTTTTCAGTTGGTTTACATCTTAAACCACCAAAATTAATGTCTTATCAATGTCATTATCGCGCCCTATGTTAATACATCCACTCACTTCTCGACACGTGGTGCTCAGGGTATTATTGGATGATGCGGCCCCACACAAGCCATACACGCGGGCTTCGCTGAGAGGACGAGCAGCAGCAGTCAGTTGAGACGCTTGTCCTTATTTACACGTGGAACGTGGGCCCCTAATTTGTCAGTATTTTGGTTTAGTCAAACTAGGTGGTTTTTTTTTCGCAACGGCCCCCGTAAATGTCATTTATAATTTTTTATTATAAATTTAATCCTGCGACTGAACTGATTGTGATTTGATGAAGTAAAGTCTCAGGCTTTGCCAACCTGGTCTTCGATTAAAAAGTACGCAAATCAGACGGTGGTGATCGAATTGCTTCAAGGTTCATGACTTCTCCGTAGAGGATCGACACCCACAAAATCAAGAAAATTAATGAGTAATATAAAACTAATCAAGACCAAATTCCCAAATATGGAAGATTCCTCTTGCCACTTTTCGACAATAAACGCACAGAGAATGACAGCACGCGCCGGTTGGCAGAGCGTGACACTTAGGACAAACCTATTTAATTGAGGAGTTAATTATGAGTTGCAATTATTTTGCTGGGCTTGTATAATAATATTTGTTATTTATCAATTAATTATAGTTTTCGTGGCTGTCTTGTCGTCTTCTATCCTTATTTCTTACCATGCACCTGATTTGAAGCTTCGATTTGACAGAAATGCGGACAAAATGAACCCAAATTCACATGAAATGCAACAAATGGAGTTTGTTATATATACACATCCACCCTCCGAGCCACGCCCATGTGCTTTTATTTTTTTATTTTGTTGTTAACCTTTAATTTTATATCTTATGGAGTGGTAGTGTAAGAGGGCGAATATAGTCACTGTTTAATTTTCCCTTCCCGGGGAAATTATTTCTATGGCTAAAGGTCGGAAATTGACGACGAGTCGAAGCGAGCGTTTTCTCGGCAGCTATGGCTACAGTCGTAGCCAAGACTCAACCGGGACCGACTCGTCGGAACTGGGGGAAGAAGATGTGTGGCCGATGGCGGATAGCGAGGAGACGAACCGGGGAGATTCCGGCGAGGAGAATTCGTCGGCCGGGGACGATGGCGGGGCTAAGGGAGGCATCCCGGTGAGGAGGGCTCCTCGGGATACACAACACGTAGGCGGGCTGTCGTTGGCTTTCGAAGATCCGGGGAGAATGACGTCGGCGAGAATCGTGCACCAGTTTCGCGGGCAGGACAGCGTGGCGTCTCCACGAGGGCGCCAGATGGCTACGTCAGCGCCAGTGAACGTGCCGGATTGGAGCAAGATTCTCCGAGTTGACTCGGTGGACTCGCTCCACGAGTTGGACGACTCGCTGGACGACCGGGACTCGGAGATCGTTCCGCCGCACGAGTACCTGGCGAGAAGCCGAAAGCGGGACGCCACTTCCGTTTTCGTCGGAGTCGGGCGGACGCTGAAGGGGCGGGACATGAGACGGGTCCGGGATGCAGTTTGGAGCCAGACCGGATTCGACGGTTAATTCAAATCAAATCAAATTAAATCGTTGTTAGGAAGGAGTAAGGAGATCAATGATGATTAAATCCAGAGATGAAGATCAACCGAGAATTAACTTAATATTTGTGAAAATGGGACGGATTAATTTTCCTTGGCCGCAGTTGACCCGGCAGCAGCACGTCCCAGATTCCGAATCATGGTTAAAAGAAATTTGTCCGATTGGCCGGGCGGCGTCCGTAATGAAATTTGAAAATCAACCCCTCTTTTCAGTGTGTTGTAATGAGTCCCAACCCAATTTGGTAATTTAGTTGCGGCCATTGAAATACTAAATTTTACACATAATCTCCTCACTTGAATTGCAATCAATGAAACAGTAGAGACCGAATTAGTTGGTAAATCTTAGTGATGGTAAAAATGAATAGATTATTTGAGTGAATGGGAGGGAAGAGGGAGAAGGAGACAAAAACGTTGAAGGAAGTGGCTCGGCAGACTGAGAGACTGCAAATGGGTTCTGGAAAGTGAGAGTTGCCGTTGTGGCAACCTCACATTTTGCAGCCACTGTTGTCCCCCCACCTTACCTTTGGTTTCACTCTTTTTTGTCAAGAAAAAAAAAATTAAAAGAAAAATTTGCATTTTCTCCAAAACAGTAAAATTTTGAAACGTTTAGACTCTCTTTTGTATCATTTGCCTATTGGCTTGCGTTTTATACATTGCCAACTTGATTCGTTTCCGATTAAAGATTTTGGAATGACCCAAAAATACATGTTCCTCTAAATATATAACATCATCATTTTGGACCATGTTTTGATACTTTCGCCTCTTTATCCTTCTCCTTAAATCCAAAGTTAATTATATTTCAGTGTCAAATGCTTCAACCAAATGCCTGCCGCTCACTCGTCGGCCGTTTCTTTGTGATGCCCAAATGTGGTGTGCCATCCCCTCTCTCTCAAGTCTCATACGTTTTTTTCTTTTTATATTTCCTATGCAATTTCACTTTTTGTTCTATCTTGGTTTCCGATGCGTTTACTTGCCTTCTATTTTTGTTTAAGAGTAAGCGTGATAACACCTTTTTTTTTAGGTATCTTGCACGCTATTGAAGATCATGAATAATATGAATCCATATTTAAAGAAGCGAAAGGAGAAGTGCTCAATCGACATGACATCTTAGTGATCCTTATTCCATGTTATTATATATCCAATATATGAATTAAATTTACCCAACCTATCAACTTAAACTTTTGGGTTGAAGGGTGATTTATTCATTCTTAACATTTGCATCAGTTCTATTAGTTATGGCTTTTGCACATTAATTCAATTTGGGTTGCATTCTTTCAGGAACAGGTAAGAGCTAATGAGACATGGAGATCATATTGGAATTGGGATCCGAAAGAAACTTGGGCATTTATGTGCATAAACTTTTTATTATATATGACGTGCCTTTTCTAACCACACTCATTGCCTCGAGGGATTGACTTTGAGCAAGGAAATTTTGAGCTGGGTCGATAAGGTGGTGGGTGTTGGATTTTGATGGATGCATTTTTATTGCTTTTCATCGTATGTATTTTCATCTTTTATCTATTTCAATTCTTGTACTCCCCAAATGTTTATTTTCATTTTGTACTTCACCATTTGGTTATTTTTTACAAGATTTTAATACAAATTGTATGGACAGTGAAAATTATTTAATCAAATATATAATTATAATTCATAAAATTTAATAAATGTAGTGTTTTTTTTTTAATTATGGTTGAAAAAAATAGAAGATAAAGGGAACAAAATACTCCAATTTTAAAAGTAAATTAAGCAAAATGGATGTACTACAAAGAGAAAAATTAACAAATAATTGAAAGTACAGAAAAATTAAAAAAATATATATATATATATATTTTTCTTTTATTTTCCTTTTTCCAAAAGGATCGGATGTAGTGAAAAGTGGGTCTTGGATAGGTGGGTCCGTAATGTTACAGTTGCAGTCCAGCTATAATACGTATATGAGACGGGATGGGCCTAGGCCCAAGGAACGAGAAATGCGGATCTTTATGAAGAATTTGGACCCGGCCCAATTAAAAATCTCGTTTTACATGTGTCAGGTACGTCATCCCGCAATCATACAAAAATTTAATTTCAAAATTCAACTGGCGTTCCTGATTTATTGCATATATCAAAATCAGGGTTTCCCAATGGGGCCATTTAGAACATGACATAATGAAAAAACATAAAAGATATAACAAAAAAGAAAAAAGAATTACAAAAAGTGCATCTTGGAGATGTATGTATGGTAATCGGTAACCACTTTTTAAAAAAATCACTGTTCAATCAAGTAATTATGAATTTATAATTACGTAATAATAGATGATTATTGAAGTATATTGCGTGAGTGTAAGTAAGTGAGTTTTGCATAAGTTAAGGAGGAGATTTCTGCAATTATGTTATTTTTGTTTTCTTTTGTAAAGTTAATTTTGTTGGTTTCAAAGGGAGCCCACCCACTGCAACATGATTTTAAAAGTGTATACAAAATTATATTAATGACATAAAATAAATATTATAAATTTTTATTCTCTTTTAGTAAAATTTCACAAAAATGACTTTTGATTGGTCTCATGTAAATGTATAAATTTATGAAATTTTAAATATAATAATAAATATATATTTCCTGTTAACATACAACGCAGCAGTTAAAGAATTTTTCTGCTCTACAAGTTGACATCAATATCCCATCCTACATCAAATGTATTCAAAAGAAAAAAATAAAAATAAAAAATCACATTCTTTTGCGGGAATGGAAAGAGGAATTTTTGGACCCGGCAACCACGGCAGTCGAATTTTTCATTTCCTTAGTCAATCACAATACCCAATGGGTCCTTCCAAGTTATGCCAAATTATAGAGATTTATTGAAACTACAAGTTTTTTTTTTTTTTTTTCGTGAATCTTAATTTAAACAACTAACTTATTTAGTACGAAAATAATAGTAATAATAATAAACCCCCTCAACCACTTAGGAAACACGTTGCACCATTTTGGAATTTATAATTTTGAGAAAAATATAAAAGTATTATTACGAGTTAAATTCGGCCCATCATGTATCTTGGCTTGGGCATCATGCAGGGGAGATCTATCGTTGTATTTCGTGTAATATTTTCCAAAAAAGATTGTACCACTAATATTTATGTGACTTTTGTTTCCACAATTTTATAGAGTGATTTATTTCGTAATACATTCTTTTTCCTCATCAACATGAAATTTATTAAAATAATTCATATTGCTACATTTTTATTCATGATAAATTGAAACCTCGGGCAGATAAATGACATTTATTTCTTTAAAGTCGGATATTTAATTTTTTGTACTTCATTTTGGTTAATAAAAAAAGACCCTATAACTATTTATACGAAATATTATAATTAAAAAAAAAATTGAAAGTTGAGAACTTGAGAGTGAAGTAATAAAAATGGTATGATGCTTCCTGTTGAATTCTGGAGAAACAAACACCGCCTTTGTTGAGTTGACTAAAACGAGCTTTGAGGTCAAGGGAAAAATAGGGAGACGGAGACCACTGGTTGGCCTTATTACCGAGCAGATTTTTCACCCAATCTCTGCGTTTTCTTTCCATAGAATTGAATTTTCATCCACTTTCCGTCTCACAGAAATCAAATTTCTAGGTTTACCTTTTCGTTTTCTCATTCGCCATTTTCATCAATACACACAGACTTGCCCGTCAGATTCGTTCTTCAACATTCCCAGAAGTCCAATCCCCAGTTGAGGTTTTGCATTTAATTCCAACTGAAACCCACCCATCTACACATTCCCACTTTCTGATTCCACAATGGGTTGCTGTAGCAGCACGCAAAAGCCAACATCCGGAGTTAATGGCTTTGATTCGGCGACAGGGATTGCAGCCAGAAGTCCATATCAAGCTTACCAACCTTATCCTCAATCTCAGTCGACTGTCCCGGCTCAGAAGGTCTCAGCCCCTCAAACCCAAATCCCATCCGACAGAAATCAGCCTCAGCCTCGGCCACCGCCGCCGGCGCAACATCCGCCGTCAGCTTCGGCTTTTCCAATACCTGCAGCTGCTGCTCCCAGAACAGTGCAAAATCATCCAGAAACCATTCTGGGCAGACCCTATGACGATATTAAAAAATACTATACTCTTGGAAAAGAACTGGGTAGAGGTCAATTTGGAATTACCTATTTATGCACCGAGAATTCCACTGGCCAAACTTACGCCTGCAAATCTATACTGAAACGGAAACTCATTAGTAAGAATGACAAGGAAGATATGAAGAGGGAAATTCTGATTCTGCAGCATCTTTCTGGACAACCAAACATTGTGGAGTTCAAAGGTGCTTATGAGGATAGGTATTCGGTTCACCTGGTGATGGAACTTTGTGCTGGTGGGGAGCTTTTTGATAGGATTATAGCGCAGGGTCAGTACTCTGAGAAAGCTGCTGCTGAAATTTGCCGTGCAATTGTGAATGTCGTTCAAATATGCCATTTTATGGGGGTTATGCACCGTGATCTGAAGCCTGAGAATTTCTTGTTGTCTAGCAAGAAAGAGGGAGCAATGTTGAAGGCAACTGATTTTGGACTCTCTGTTTTCATTGAGGAAGGTTGAGGTTCATTCGTTTTGTTTTTTTTTCCCCTCTTGGATTGATTTGATTTCTGGACTACAAGTAAAAATTGCTGAAGTGAGAACCCATGATTATGCTTTCTTATGTGGAATATACCCCGAATGGTTAAATTTTGTATTGAATCAGATGCAGTTGAATTCACATGTTGAGTAATGACCACTGAAATTATTCTGATGCTATCACGGGTCAACTGGATTCCTTGTGATATGGGAATTTTACAATTTCAGCAATTTGTACTTTACTTTTCGTTGGAAAAGTTTCAAAAGTTAATTAGGTTATCAGTCTCCCGTGCATTTTAGGTAATATGATCATCATACGTCCCTTTCTCCCTAAGCCTGGGGCAGAGCAGAGATTAGATAATGATGATTTAGTTCTGGATTTTGTTTATTGTCTGTCAAAATCAGTGACTTAGCATCTCTTAATCGAACTAGATTGTAAATTTCATTATATTTCTTGCCATTTTTCTTCCATTCTAATTGACTGTGTATGTGAAGCAGCTTCTATTAATAATCATCTCTCATGTATTTTTGGATCTCATCTCAGGTAAAGTGTACCGCGACATAGTGGGCAGTGCTTACTATGTTGCTCCTGAAGTATTGCGGCGAAATTATGGGAAGGAAATTGATGTCTGGAGTGCAGGAGTTATTTTGTATATCCTTCTTAGTGGCGTACCTCCATTTTGGGCAGGTAAAGATCACTATGAAAAATATTTTAAATTAAATTCATATTCTACTATATTATAGTTTCAGTTTGTAAACTGCAAAAGGAAAATGTGTTCCAATTGCCTTCTTCAACTTCAAATGGCAGAAAATGAGAAAGGAATATTTGATGCCATACTGCAAGGAGAAATTGATTTTGCAAGTGCACCGTGGCCAACAATTTCCGAAAGTGCTAAAGATCTTGTGAGGAAAATGCTGACCCAAGATCCGAGGAAGAGAATTACTCCTGTACAAGTTCTAGGTATCTACCAACCCTTTTATATGTATGTATGACAGTTTTTCGGTTTCACATTTGTCTCTCCTTTTGGTTTTCGAAAATGCTACTGCCAGAAACTATATTTTTCTTTTATATTGAAGTTTCTTTGCCTATGTTCTTTGGCCTAAGATTATAAGTCAGGAAGAGGGGAACCAAGCAATTGCAATCTTTCTTCTTGCAGTTGCCCAAAGTTGTCATATTGGGAACTTGGAAATTTTATATTTTAACCAGGGGAAACAACATAATTCTATCAATCTTCATCTGTCAGTTTCTCAATGTATCTAGGCTAATGTGATTACTTGTGCGCGGGCTGACATTTGAGTTCTTTTAGAACATCCATGGATCAGAGAAGGTGGAGAAGCATCAGACAAGCCAATAGATAATGCTGTTCTGTCTAGAATGAAGCAATTCAGGGCGATGAATAAGCTTAAGAAGCTTGCTTTGAAGGTAATCATCAAACTGCAGTCAAAACTACCGTTTATTGTTGATAATAAGCATCCAAATCACAGAAGAAATGTTGTCTAGCTCTATAACTAGCACGTACAAAGTTCTGATATCTCTAATAGAACACAATTGGTGTCCCACACTGCATATGATTCGGGCGTATTACAAACATAAATATGTTTGATGTGTATATTGTCAGTCTCTCTGGGGCCAAGGACACCATTCCTGAGCCCGTTTGATGCTGATGAGAGTGGCATGGCTTATTGACCATGCTTTGAATGTACGAGTAAATCCGTTAAGCAAATTAATCAGTCTAATACCTGCTTCACTTTCAATTTAGATGTGTTGTTCCTTCAGCATGCCTTGTTCTTCCTTTCCTCCATGTGAACCTTTTTTTTTTTTTGTCGTTAATACATTTTTCTGTTCTATATTCTTTTTTTTTCTAATTTCTAATATTTTATACTTATTAGGTCATCGCGGAAAACTTATCCGAAGAAGAAATCAAAGGACTTAAAGCTATGTTCGCAAACATAGACACTGACAATAGTGGCACAATCACCTATGAAGAATTGAAGACCGGTTTAGCTCGGCTTGGTTCGAAGCTGTCAGAAGCTGAAGTGAAGCAACTAATGGAAGCTGTAAGTAAATACTTACCTCAATGCAATTAATTGGTTATTGCTTAAGGACTCTCTCGTAGCAAAGTACAAACTTTTCAGGCTGATGTGGATGGAAATGGATCAATCGACTACATCGAATTTATCTCTGCAACCATGCATAGGCACAGACTAGAAAGAGACGAGCACTTGTACAAAGCATTTCAGTTTTTTGACAAGGATAGTAGTGGGTAAGTCGAAACTTCCAGATCCTCTAGATGCGACTCACATGAGCCAAACATGTCGATATGTAATACAAAAACATGTCGACATGTAATACAAGTTATTGTGTATAATGTTGCAATGACCTGAAATATATATGCCTTTGAGACATTTATACAAGTTTTGTTACTAAAGATTCATGACATTACTGAGCTTTGCTATTGTTCTTATGACAGATACATTACAAAAGATGAATTAGAAACTGCAATGAAGGATTATGGCATGGGTGATGAAGCCAGCATTAAGGAGATTATCTCTGAGGTTGATACAGACAATGTAAGTTGATTTAGTTTTAAAATTTGTGGCTCCCTCTTACACGAAAGAGAAAAAAAGGCTTACTCTTCTTTGCATCATCTATAGGATGGTAGAATCAACTATCAGGAATTCTGCGCAATGATGAGAAGTGGAACAACACAACCAGGAAAACTCTTTTAATTTCTGAGAATCAAATTCGAACTTTAAAGCGGTGTGTAATATAATGCGAATGAGTTGCTCAAAGGACTTGGATCTGTTCCCATGGATCTGACTGATTACCAGGACCTCTTGAATTCGAATGCTGTCAGAATCTTCGTTTTTTTTTTCTTTTTTCTTTTGCTGCCTTAATTTGGGAGTAGCTCTTCTCTGGGAAATGGAGGTAAGTTTTGTGTATATGTAGTTTGTTTTTGAATTTTTTCTCTCTCAGTTGTTACCCAATTAATGGATCTTGCAAGAACAAGCTAATAATTTTCATTCTTCACATTTTCCAGTTCTGTTTAGATGATAAACCAGTGGTTGGGAATCTCATTCCATCAGAAGAAATCATTATTTGGTGAAATAAGATTAAAAGAATCAGATTTGCCTGATCTGATCAACAGAAACATTGGCAATACATCCACTTTCCAGAAGGAATAATCAGGTTTTAATTCACTATTTAATTTAGCTAGAACAGTTGGTGTACATGAAATTTGTCACATAAATAAGAAGCCCTGTTTATGGGATAATTCTACCATCCAACATTCAGCAGTGATTCCAAAATCTCCAACATTGAGCAGAAAGAACAGTTCTCAGCTGCCATGAACTTTAATGATATGGCTAACATTTCCATACAAATCCCCCCTTTGAGCAAGAGCAGTCAATTTTCTCATTGATTATTGATCTCGACTGTTAAGTTGATAACCCTGTCAAAACCGTATCAAATCAATTAAGACCTGTGCAGCTTTGGGGTTTTGAATATACCATTTTACCACCACAACTCATCTAGACTCATGCAGGAAGCAAATTTCTCAACTGTTCTGTTGAATCCTTCTGCATTTTACATCGGCGACGAGATGGCGAATGTGTGGTGCGTACCATTTTACTCTCTCAACATGTTCTATTGAAACATCCCAATGATGACCTGAAACAGAAAACCGTCGAAGTCGGGATCAAATCACATAGTATTCATATCTGTAAATATCCCAATTTGGAAAAAGAGGAAAAAAGAAAAAGGAAACCTTCAGATCTAGCAATTTCAGCTATTGATTGTAGGAGGTGTCGAGTCCACAATTCTTCTTCGGAGTCCTTCACATTATCATGCACATGTAGCATCCCGCCTTCACTTCTGCACATTCAGTTTCGGCATCGAATGCAATTAATCAAGATATTAATCAAGATGTAGGTAAAGGAATTCTTCATTCTAAGAGGACGCAAACGAAGCACATTATTTTCAACTTCATTTTTCATTCAAGTTTTGAGCTCACAAAGAAAAATGAAGTATTAATGGAGTCCCTAAGGTGGATACTGAATTCAAGTTTGGCATAAAATACAACCTCAATGTCCTCACAGCAGTCACCCAGCTACCCTCACTTGTTGGAAGGAGACCAAGGCAAACCCGATCAGCAACTCCCTGCAAAAATAATGACAAAATCCAATAAGGTGCAGGACTAAATTTCCTTCCAAAACAATACACCAGACGTTACAAATCCATTACTAGCAGTAGCTGCCACCAAACAAGGATGAATGCGGGATGTAATGTAAATTCTCTTTATCCCTATTCTGTATTTCATAGTTTGCTTATGTGTTCAACATGGCTTTTAAAGTACTTGAGAAGGAGCAAAAGTGATCTTCTAAAATTTAATAGTGTTTGGTTAAAATTTTAAAGAGCTATAAAAAGTGCTTTTAATTTGAAGTTTAACCAACTAAAAGCATACCTTAGGTGCTGTCTCCCGGTTATCTCCTTCAAGAATGATACAGCGGTTGCTCACACAATTAGCTTGTAAATTACGTTTAAGTGCCTCAATAGCGTGAGGATTCCACTCGCAAGCATAGACCAGTTTTGCTTTAGCCCTGATCAACCAATGTCATATTCAATCTAATTTCTTAATTAAATAAATAACCGCAAAATTTAAACATGTTTGAATGTCGAAAAAGTGGATGTCATAGTTTATTTCATGAGCAGGCCATGACCACCTTTTTGCTTAACATTGACAAACTTGAGATCGCAATTTCACACTGAAACAATTCAGTTGAATCAGAACAAGAAGCAATTCAAAATATCATCAGGGATGAAATTATGGCCTCTGTGCATATACTTCATTTGAAGAGAAAGAAAACAAGGAAGAAAGTAAGTGGTCAAAGAATAAAGTAATGTACCCGACAAGAAATGGCAACACAAAATATCCAATTCCAGCAAATAAATCCACAATGGTCTCCTCTTTACAGTCCAGATGGGCCATCCGAAGTTTCTCAGAAAGATTGCCCCAGGAAAACATGCACTTGGTGGCATCGAAAGAATATGCTATTCCATTTTCACGATGGTCAACCCAACCATTATCTCCCACAAGAATCTCTAAGTTACTATCCCTTGTACCAGTCGAAGCAACTCTTCCCTATGAAAAAACATGGGCAAGAAGCAAAGAAAAGTTAGTTCATAAATTTGTAGGGCTTCAATTTGTTTTTCAAAACTGACATTTACTGATTGAAAAGCAGATAAAAGAATTAACTGCAGATAATCGTTGTTCTGAGTTAATGATCTAAGCTGAAATCTTTCTCGTTAAAGAATTTTTAAAAAGAAATTGGCTTCAGTCCCAAAGGTGAAATTAAAGTCAGTTAAAGATGCTTTAGTGTCTGGTTGGCAAGGACTTGAGGTTTTTTGGTCCATTCAAACTTTTTGGTGAGCTTAACATTAAAAATCCTTAATATCTCCCGGGTCCGAACCTTCGGACAGGCACGGGTGCCCCTGAATATGGAGGAGCAAAGGTCCAGCTCCCGGTTATTAAAAAAAAAAACTTTATTGCCCATAATGAGAGAGAGAGACCTTGCAAGTCGAATACACGTATTGGTTTTCTAAAGGAGACTTACTTGGCGAGCAAGACGACTAGTACAAAGTGATTTGGCAATCATAGGCCACAGCTCCTCCCCAACAGTGTCCCATATAGGGTCCTTAAAGGATGTCACTGGAAGCACCACAATGTCTCCAAGTCGCTCCCATCTAAGAAACCCAATAGACCTTACTTTTAGCAAATGGTAACGCAATAAAATCATATCCACTCACATAAGTGCTAGCATGATTCTTTTTTTTTTTAATTAATTTTACTCGTAAGACCCAGTAAAGCATTTCTAATAGAAATGATATGTTCTTACCCTTTGCCATATCAAACCTGTGATATATAGAGGCCAATTTTAAATATTGAAACAAACATGCAGATGCCAGGAGGGAAGAAAAAAAACATAAGACACACACACACACACACACCTTGTTGGCAGCTCCTCCAAAAGTTCTTCAGATAGCCCATTATGCTTTATCAGGGAGTATACTGCTTCGCTCATCTTTTTATATGGAGATTTGGTCGCTGTTTTTATCTCAACAACTTCATCCACCAGTTTGGTTGCATCACATTTCTTTAACATGTTCAAAGCTTCTAAGTAAGAGCATTTGTTTGGCCGAAATCCTTCACAACTTACAAGTTCAGATACATGAAAGTCATTCTTCTGATAAATTTGATCTCCCCACCAGGACTGCTTTTCATCAAATATATCACAGAATTTGCTATTCACTGGGAAACAAATATGTGTTCCACCACTACTCCGTGAAGAAACCTTTCTACCCAGGTCCAGCCATCCAAACGTCTTTAAAATGTCCTTCCCTAATTTTGCATACTTTTTTTCAATTTGTAAAATCCAATACAAAGCACCTTGTTGTTTTTGTTCATGTAAATTGGGTTTTTCACGTTCAATAGTAAAGCCAGAAGCTTCATTGAAACTTTGAGCATTACCATTGAGTAGACATTCAGGATCTCTGTTCTTTTGCTCCAACTCTTCAATTAGATGATTCGCAACCTTTTCTATGGTTTCAGGATGCCCTAAAATAACCTCTGAAGACATCAATGGATGCAACCTAATTTTCATTGGCTCGCTAAACATCGTCCCAAATGCATAGCATGATGCTCCACCACCAATTAGAACAACATCATCACCAACAACACTGGCTGTGCTACGTACAAACAAACCCTTGCCAATACACTTTAGAGACACGTGCGTCCAAGAGTGAAGATGCAAATCGAGTAATGATAACTGCTGACAGGTTTGTGTCACAGGGCAACCTCCAATGATTCCAATATAATTTTTATACACAAACATTGCATGGGAGAACCTTGCATTCGGTGTTCTCCCAGCTATATTTTCTTTCTTCCAAAAACAAGCATCTGCATCAAAAGTATACAAGTCCCCAAGAGTTTTCTCCCCATCATACCCCCCAAACATATAAATATGCGACCCACAAGACACCATTGAGTGTGAATGACGACCACATGGATGTTCACCACCAGCCTGTATTTCTTTCCACTGATGACTATCCGTGTCCAGGACAATCAAGGAAGATGAGATTCTGTCATTCTCAAGTCCACCAAACACATAAATCTTTGAGCCTACTGCAGCTGCAGCATGCCGGTGCCTGCATTAGAACTATAAACATCAGGAATGGAAATAGGTAAACTTGTGAATCAAACATGCATCCATTAATTGACCTGTTGCACTAGATCTTTCTAACAGTAAGCGAAAAAAAGGGCTCCTTAGAGTATTTTTACGTGTTGCTGGTCCCCAGGCCTTTTAACCTTTTCTTAAGAAAAAGGCTATTATTCAGAAAGAAATCAAAATAGCCACAAAGAAATGAAACTGAAATGACAAAGAGGCAGAAGGACAATGCAGGTAACAAGACTTCACCTAGGAGAAAAGGGGCTACCAGTGCATTCTAGTAACGTCCATTTTTCCAGAGTTGTATTAAAGACCCATACATCATTTAGAATACACGTAGGATCTGTCCTGCCACCAATAACATAAATAAAATCTCCAACCAAAGACGATGTGTGACCCAGCCGAGGAGATGGACTGTCCTCGACATTGATTGTCTGCAATGAACATGACGACATATCAAGTTGTAATAAATCATTTCTTCTCGCATGTCTACCCATGCCTCCAAAACCACCAAAGACAATAACTTTATTGTGGATAGTAGTGGCTGAGTGCCCCCAAATAAAAAGCTTCGCCATAGGCTCCCCAACAATGTCCATCTGTTCAACAGATAAACTATGACTGCATGCTTCTGATGATCCTGCCAATGATTCAAAGACTCAGACTTGCTTTCAGATTAAAAGGAAAGGAGTCCTGCAATTACAAAATATCAGTAATAGTCAATACTACTTGGACTAGAATCAATACATCTTAATTGCAGAAATCATATGCCTATAGAATGTTGTCCATTTTTCATCTAAGTTGATTATTTGTTTTTCCTTACAGTCCAAGATAGAGAAATACGTTTCCTGTTATTTCAAACACATAATTATCTAACCAAATGGAATTAGTATTAAGACTCTTCATTAATATTAGTTCCTCTTTGCACAATCCAAACACCAAAATATACGATTATATTATAGGTATTCTCTGGTAGTGACCAAATTACCAGTGGCATTCCTATCCCCGCCTTCCAGCGCTGCACCATCATCCTCTTCATCAGCACAAACATGTCCCTTGCTATCCACCGAATCATTCACATCCCCCATTGCCTCCCTCGATAGGATTCCGTGACACGTCTGCGAAACATTAGAAACGACAGACACACTACTTTGCATTGTCTTAAAAAATCCGTCAGTTCTCTTCTTATTGGCCTCCATCTTTTCATTTGCTACATCGACAAGGTATCGGACGTACTCAGGCGAGACCATAATCTTCTCTGTAGTCCCCAACGGCACCTCCATTCGAATAGAACAGCGAATTGCGATTATCACACGCTTGCTAGCACTGGTAATCCCCGATTCTCTGAACCCACAAGATATAGCGGAAGAAACCAGAGCCTGAGCCGATCCAAGGTCCTTACATTCAACTGCTATGATCAGAGGTTCGAACCTGAACACGATCTCAGATAACTCCCCGTTAGTTGATGGTGAGCGGAAGAGGAGGTCGACGACTGAGTCGGGATCGGCAAATTCATGAGTGACAAGCAGCCAAGACCCACCTAGGGCTTTCTTCTTCGGCTTCACGGCGACGGCAGAGGCGCTAGTGATTGGTTGGGAGAGAATAGATATACGGCCGGAGCAGGAACTTGTGGTGAAGTAAGACGGGTGGGTGTTGAGAGTGTTGATGAGGGGAATGATTGGAGTGTCCAAGCTTCCCTTGGGCGATTTGTCGGTCTCAGTTGAGCCGAGCGACGCCATAGTCGCAGCTTTCCTCTTCTCAAATTCCATTACTGCTGCTTCCCAGCTCCCAAAGCCTCCCCAAAATCTCAACCGGAAACGAGGAAGTTTAGGGGGAAATCGGCGGGCGATGAAGATTGAAGAAGTGAAATTGGCTCACCCCTGAATTGGGCCGATGGCCCGTATTTCCCCGCTAAAATACGGGCCGAGGAAGCCCATTCCATTTACTTTCATTTCTGGGTCTGGTTCTTGAACAGCGGATAGATCAAACACAGACGAATTCGAGTCGTTTAGCCGCATATACCATCCTGATTCCTGTCAAATAGAGATGTACAGAGATCAAGCCCCACCAGAGCGGAGTAATGGACCCCGCCTCGAAATATTTCATCACGAGCAATCTGCAAAGATGAAATTGTTATCTGTAAACCTCATCCAAATCCGTCAGTTTCCCTCCACTCATTTCCCTCTCATTTCATTCGTACCAGAACAAAAGCTCCAAAATGAAGATAAGAGTAAGACCACATAGAAGCGGAAACCCATCTAAAGGGAAAGTTGAAATCCGCTTAGCAGACCCTCTTCTCTAAAGCGGAGCCCGAGAAGATCGTCCATTAAAGATCATGGCTTGCTCAAACTTCACAATGTGGGTCTCCTCAAAACCGTCTCTATCCGACGCCTCCGCACTTTCTTTCCGGCCTTTCAACCCTCTTCATAATCCGGCTCAGGGCTCCCCCGCCGGCAATGCCTCGCGATTTTCATCTGTCACTCCGATTCAGTGCGGTCTTCGTGAGCTCCGAGAACGAATCGATTCGGTGAAGAACACCCAGAAAATTACCGAGGCTATGAAGCTTGTTGCTGCTGCAAAAGTGCGTAGAGCTCAAGAAGCTGTTGTTAACGGAAGACCATTTTCGGAATCTCTCGTTGAAGTTCTTTACAGTATCAACGAGCAGCTCCAAACCGAAGATATAGACGTTCCTCTGACAAAAGTCCGACCGGTCAAGAAGGTTGCTCTGGTTGTTGTTACTGGGGATCGAGGTCTTTGCGGCGGTTTCAATAACTCGATCATCAAAAAGGCAGAAGCCAGAATCGCAGAATTGAAGAACCTTGGCCTTGACTATACTGTAATTAGCGTCGGTAAGAAGGGGAACTCGTATTTCCTTCGCCGGCCTTACATTCCAGTCGACAGATTCCTCGAGGGCGGCTCACTTCCCACAGCTAAGGAAGCCCAAGCCATAGCAGACGACGTTTTTTCCCTCTTTATCAGCGAAGAGGTCGATAAAGTCGAGCTTCTTTACACCAAATTCGTGTCATTGGTTAAATCCGACCCCGTGATCCACACTTTGCTTCCACTCTCACCAAAGGGAGAGATTTGTGACATTAATGGCGTTTGCGTGGATGCCGCAGAGGACGAATTCTTCAGATTGACGACAAAGGAAGGAAAATTGACCGTAGAGAGAGATGCCGTGAGGACAAAAACCTCAGAATTCTCCCCAATTTTGGAGTTTGAGCAGGACCCAGTTCAGATTCTTGATGCTTTATTACCTCTCTACTTGAACAGTCAAATTTTGAGGTCATTACAGGAGTCATTAGCAAGTGAGCTCGCGGCCAGAATGAGCGCCATGAGCAATGCGACTGATAATGCAAGCGAGTTGAAGAAGACGCTCTCAATTGTCTACAACAGACAGCGCCAAGCCAAGATCACTGGCGAGATATTGGAGATTGTTGCTGGTGCCAACGCTTTGACTTAAAAGGTCAATTAAGCAACTTTTAGGTACTTTCCACTGAGAATTCATTAAAATATGCCCGTTTAAGAACTAAAACATATTTAACAAATTCGTTATAAGTCTCGTCCCATTATAAACACTGTGCAACGAGACAATGGGGGCAACGTGTCTTGGAAAATAAGACAATTCTCTACTCGTGGTTTTGAATTCTATCCACTTTTTAGTCTTTTTGACGCTATGATTGTTTATAGTTCCTGTAATATTTGCACTTTCTGGTGCAGCTCTGCTTAATTGAAGCGCTGTTCAAATATAATTATATAATATATATATATACATAAACGTAACTATTGGGCTTTTTGTTAGAACTTTTATTTCATATCCCATGACAGGCTACAAATAAGATCATTTATGTGCTTCCTTAAAGCAGTCGATTCCAGAAGAACTGATAATATCAATTTGGAAGGCTTCTGAGATCAGTGCTGGCTTGATCTAGAGGATTAAGTTTAAAAGTGAGTAGGATTAGACTGCATTCTAGAACCGTGCAAGCCAAGAAGGCCATAGAAATGAAAACGTTGAATACACGTAGAATCCCGATTTGTGTACGGATTATAGGTTGGTGTAACGTAAACTATGTAGCTAAACTCAAATTTAACTAACATGAGGTTACTTTGTTGTGCAATCTTCATGACTATCAGCGATCCAGTAAGGTGAGCTGTATGTGTTACTATGTAATCTATTAGTCCTTTTGAGTTTGCCTCACGTATTAAATTTATGTTCCTTGGTGTTATGAGTTTTCTTACTTCATAGCTTATATCAACTCATGTTATTAAATCCAGACTTGTGAAATTTAATTTTTGCACTACATGCTAACTTTTACAATCGAGTACAAGTTTTGTGTTAGATGTTACAGATTTTACAAGATGAATAAGATTTTCATTAGTGTGTGATCTTTTGGATAGAATCCATTGATAATTCAATCGAAGTTAGACACAACCTTAGAAAAAGATGTTCTATTATCCTAATAAATAGCAATAGAGTAATGTCTTAGAGTTGCAGATCTTTAGAAGTCAAGCTGAAGTGTTGAGTCTTAGTCCCACGTGGGATGAGGTTTGTCAATAGGTGGTATACTCTTGAGAAAATGAGTTAATCACGAAACTATTGTCTTTTTGTCAAGGTGTGAATTCGAACATTTGACCTTTAAAAAAGCTCCCAGTATACGGAAGCGTTAAAAGTTGATTAATCTTCGGCTTATTTATCTCATTCTCAGCTGTATGGATTCATGTTGTCTTCCATACTGCTAACCACTAGTGCATCCTTAGTGGTCTATAATATAACTATTATTTATTCTAAAACAGCCATTGATGATGAAAAGAATGGAAATAACTCCCTTCCCTTTCTGTCTTTATCTGTACTTATGACCATAACAATGAAGAATGAACAAACACCCCTACTTTGTCGGCAAAACTTATTTGGCAGGGATCACGCGTTCTATCTCTATCATTAAACATAGGTAATCAGTAAAGTAGAAATTGAAAAAAAAAATGGTATGCTTGATTATGCATCATAAAGGGAAACAATTTGACGCAGACTCGCAAATCAACAGCAGCCTAAGCAATGGCATCTCAGAGCATTTACAAGGGAGAGAAAGTAGTTGAAGAATTGAAATGGTGGTGGGGAAAGCCATAGTTCTTGCAACGGATTAAGGGAAAATCTGTGGACTCGGATTAGACTTTAGAGGATCTAATCCCATCCCCAGGAAAGGAAAGTGATTGAATGAATGAATGAATGGAAAAAGAAAAAAGGTTGTCTTGTGCTGATCTTATCTCTACTTTATTCAATGTATTTCCTTTTTTACTCCCCATGACAGATAAAAGGGTTTTTTCATTATCTTAATGATTATCACTCTCTCTTGAGTTTGATTTTTGATTGCCCCATTATAAATTTTCAATTCTTTCTTTCTTTTTCTTACTTGGAATCCACAGTCTCGACTGTTTCTAAGTGAAAATCCCACTAAGCAACTGCAGCTCGTTCACTAAACTCAAAATTCTTTTTATTTCTTCACTTTAGATCTGCAACATTCTGAGAATTCCATTTTTTAAAACCATATTAGATGTTTTGAATTTAAAACTCGTTTTAAAGCTAAGTTAGGCGCATTAAATCAAAACGCCACGTCTCCCTCTATATCAAACAACAGCAGGGCCATCCATCTCCAACTGGTTCATGTCACTTCAAAGTTTTTTTTTTACCTGTATATCTTTGGGAAAGCGATGACTTTTTTTAGTTCCCCATTTCAAAAGTAAGAAATCTTTGGAACGTTCAATTGGATTACAAAACGACACCCAATAAAATGAATATAAAAACAGTCTCTAAACATATTATTTTAAATGGCTTGATTGTTTGCTAACCAAGGTGGTTTTTTTTCTTCTTCTTGCAGGTTAGGCTCAAATGAATGAGATGAAATCTGAACTTTTTTTTTTCTCTGCATGAACCAAACAAGGAGATGGTTGACCCACACACGCTCTCGTGTCATTTTCGAACAGACATTATGATTTGAGCTTGAGAAGACACCTCCCCATCTCTCCCTCAATTCCAAGACAGGTGCTTCTTTCTCTCTCTTTCTTCTTTCTCTCTCCCATAAATCCCAAAGCTCTTTGAAGCATTGGTAAACGAATTGAAGTAATAGATGGAAATTTTGAAGTGCTTAAGATCATTGAGATCCATGGTGGCCAAAACTTCTCTCACATATCTCAATGCAGCAACACAGAAGAAAATTAAGTGCTTTTACTCCTCTGGCGCCTCCTTCAAGGCCAGCTTCAGAGATTGAAAAAAGCAATGGAAATAGATTACTGAGTTTTTTTTTCAACTAGGAGTGAGATGGAGCTGTGCTGCAAGTTAAGAAGAGGATAAGGTTACGGAAATCAGTGAGGTTTTGGTTTTGGTTTTGGTCAGACTATTTTCGAGTCTCACTCATCGTTTCCCCATCATCTTTTCCAATCAAAAGCCAGCCTTTTTTCTAAACAGACTTCAACAACTTCCCTTGATCAATATTTTGCTTTGGTTTCTGTTATAAGTTCTTGTTTTTTTATCTTTTCAAAGTTCAAACCAACCCCATCTTACAGTGGCGGGGGAAAATTAGTGCTTTTAAGTTTTTTACTCAGATTCTCTTCAAATCCCGTCGCTTTCTCTCCCATTTATTTCAGCTTTTTGATTGGCCATGAAAGTACAATTCATCTGTTTTTTGTTATCTTTTCTGGGGTTTCCCTATTTTTGCTGGGTGCCATTTCTGAGCCTGAACTGAGGCCCTTGATATCTGTGATCTTCTTTGGTAGTATTCAGGTAAGAGCAAGGGTTTTTTTCATTTTTTTTCCTCTTTTTTTCCATTGCTTCTCTTACTTTGTCACGGTTACTTTTGGGGCTCTGCACCTGATTCTTACTCATTTTCAGAGAGAAAAATTTCTGATAAATATCCGTGAGAAAGGCCAGTTTCATCTGAAGGGTAATCAAACAATAAGGTAGGTTCATTTCATTGTATTTCTCTCTCTATCTATCTGTTCCTTTTTGTTCCCGAGGAGATAACCCAGTTCAGTTCCATCTCATTCTCACTTTCTTCAGCACCAAAAGATGAAACAAAAATAATCAGTTATTTTTCCCATATATGTATATTGGAACTAGTGACTCTGTTTTACTCATTGTTAACAAGTGTTATTTTTTTCATTTTACTCACTGTTCTCTCTTATTGGCTCATGAACTAAACCACTTTTCTGTGTTCTGTTTTAGATCAAACAGATGGCAGGTTCCACCACCAGAAGAAGCAATGGAAAATCAATCAAAGATGGAGACTTTGATGAAGAAGAAATAGAAGCATGGAGCTTTAACCCCAAAAGAGGAGAAGAAAAAGAAGCTTCATCGATCTCTTCTTCTTCTTCTTCTTCCTCTGTTTGGCGCATGCAGAGCTCTGCCCCTAAAATGATACCCAAAGCCAAAACAGCAGAAAATCAAGAACCCAAAACTGTGAAGCGATCCTCAGCCCCTCTGGACATTCCAGACTGGTCCAAAATATATGGAAGAAATGGCCACATGGGTTCATGGATGGATGATGAATATGGCATGGTTGATGGTGCTGCACGTTATGATGATGATGATGATGGAGATGTCATGGTTCCTCCTCATGAATGGATTGCTAGGAAGCTGGCAAGAAGCCAAATTTCATCTTTCTCAGTGTGTGAAGGGATTGGAAGAACACTCAAGGGAAGAGATCTTAGTAAAGTGAGAAATGCCATTTTGACTAAAACTGGTTTCTTGGAGTGATGTAACAACAAATTCATCACTTTCCTTTTTGTTGAACCAAAATCTACTGTGAGTTAGAGAGCCTGAGAATTGCCTTTTGTTTTTTTTTTTTTTTTTTGGGTTGAGAGATTTTGTTTGTTGAATTTGAGTTTTGGGTAATTGAATTCAATAAGAAAAATGGTACGAGATAATATTTCTCTAACTTGCAGTGTTTAAGAATTTCAGTGATGGGCAAATGAAGTGCACTGTTATAATCTTCCTGTCTTGTCTATTTCCAGGGGCAAAAATTGATGCTCGTGTTAGAAATCTTTTTATTGGGATGTTTATTTTATTTGTTTTTCTTCCTTTTGCCACCTAAAGAATTCAATTATCATGCACGGCAGGTAATCCAAGTTTTCTTGTACTTCTTCACTTTTTCCATCTCTATATTGATGGTGAATTTGTATGCGTATGTTAAAATGGTCTATTTCGTTTGGATCCAACTCTATATTGATGGGAAGAAATATTTTGTCATTTTTTTTCCTACAACGAAGATGAGGACTCAAACGCACGATTTGTTTGATATTGGCAGTAGTCCACCAACGTGTTAAGTAAGGATAATATCCAAAATTTAATATATTTCCAAATGTGGTATAAATATATATATATATATATATAACATCAAATTGTGTTTTTTTTTATTTAATACAATAAGCCATAACCAATTTAGCTAAGTTCATTAGTTGTTTGATTTTTTGATTTTTTAACTTTAGTTATGTTTTTGTTTTTTATTATGCCTAAATACATGATTTAAAAATAGTTTTAGACCTAATAAAATCATTTTTGTTAATAAAATAGGTTGTGGAGTCCACAAAATCAATGTTTTTTTTTTCCAAATATAGTTTACCAAATCTAATTTAATAATATATTTTACAAAACATTTAAAAAAACCTAATTTTAACTTTTTTTTTTGGTTGATTTTTTGAGGTCTGCAACTTACTCTACAAAAATACATGCAGGGGTTGGAATCTTACCTAGAAATATTAAGCTTGGGGTTTAGCTGGAGGTTAAGAAGGGTTTAAGAAGCTGTACTAAAAAAAAAGAAGAAGGGTTTAAGAAGCCTAAATTTTATATCTGTTTAAATATTCCTCTTAATTGTTTACTTTTGTTTTTTTTTTCCTTAAATATTATCTACTTTTACTGTTTTGATATGACTAAGTTCACAATTAAATAATTTTCTTATTATCCAAATGTAAGTTCAAAATTTAAACGGTTTCTTATACTTTCTTGTTTTAAGTCGACTAACTTAAAAATAAAATACATTCTTATATTATTTCAAACTGATTAAGTTAGAAATAGAATACCATATATTTATGCTATTTTAATACGACTAAATTGAAAATGAATATCGTGCATATATTTTTGTTCGAGTATGAATCGTTTGAAATTAAATACTTTTTTATATGGGTAATTTAAAATAAAATATTTTCTATTTTACTAATTTTATTTTAATAATTCTAAAATAAAATATCATTTAGTTTTGTTAATTACATTTGGTAAACTATATTTTCAAAGAAAATATTGGTTTTGTGAGGTTGACACCTTATTTAATAGATTATTAAATTAGATTTGGTATATTGTATTTAAAAAAGATTGATTTTGTTGAGTCTAAAACTACTTCTAAGAAATATTTTTAGACAAAGTTAAAAAATTAATAATAAAAAGTAAAACATAATTCAAGTTAAAAAGGGAAAAAATAAAATAAAAAACCAAAACAAATTAAAGTTTTAAAAAAAATTGCGGAAAAAGTGTTAGAAATAAAAGGGACTGAGGAGCCTAAAAAAAATAAAAATAAAAAAATAAAAAAGAAGTGGTGGTATTCAAGTTAAAAAAAAAAGGGAAAAAATGGAAAATCTTTGAAGGGCTTGGCTAACGGAGTTCGACCCTCCGGTTTCTACGGGCTCAATGCTATTTTCCCAGTTAGTTTGAAAAGTTTCGTTCCAAAGTATGAAATTGTTGTTTCCCCATTCGTTTGTTTTCCATTGCTGCTTTCTGGGTTTTTTCCATTTTTTCGTCTACTGTTAATTCCTCAAATTCTACTTTACTCTTATGGATCCCAAGTGAGTAAACTAAGTTAGGGAAGGAAAAGGAAATGTCAACGAAGAACAGAGGAGGCGGTGAGTTTGCTCCAAAAAATGCATTCTCTAGGAACTGGGTTCTTCTGCTATGTTTTGGGAGCTTTTGCGCTGGAATGTTTTTCACTAACAGGTGCATTTTCTTTATGTTTTCCAGATTCCATTTATACCTTAGAACACGTATTTCCGAGTTCGGTTGCTGAATTGTGCACATTGGGATTTGGGAATACGGATTTTCAATTGATTTAAAATTCCATAATTCTTGGAAATTATCATCTGCTGTTCTTAATTCGACTGCTGGCCGTTAATCTTTGATGCCAGCATTGATGAAACTATTCCCGTATTCATTAACCTCTGTTACGGATTACGAGAAATCTTTTGAATTAACAAAGATGTGCAGAGCTGATTATAACCATATGCTCTCATCTACTTCGATCCTTGAATTTAAGCATTATTAGCTTGCCTAAAGTACGTTTCAGTTTCTTCTACTCTCTCAACAATCTTTTGCCTTAATTTGTTGTGCTTGTTTTCTTCAAGTACTGTGTACTACTACTAGGATAAGTTCGATAATTCGATTTAATTCTTTTCACTCATTATTCCAGAATGTGGATGGTTCCAGAAGGTAAACGGACTTCAATGGTTTCTAGGGTTGCTAATGCACAAATGAAGATAAAATCTGAGGATTGTAATCCACAACGTGTGAGTACATCTTTCAAACGTCTACTTTGAAGTCAGTTCTGAAACTTTTTCCATCAATTTATTACCCTTACATACCAATCAGTTTATAAGGGTAAGATATGTGGTGAAAGTTTGAAACTGCCAACCCACAGTTTTCATGGATGTAAAATCTGCTTTGAAGTCAGTTCTATTTTTCCTTATTATTCCATAAACATTGGGACCTTTTCTTTTTATAAGGTTCAGAAACGTGGTGAAACTTTGACTGTCATTCTACCATAAACCTTGTTATTAAATCTGTACTTTTTATGTCTTTTTGAACGTCTCATTCTAATCATTTCCGGTAAAGAATGCATACAATGCAAGAATAAGTGAGAATTCAAGGACACAGCTTGGTATACAGTAAGGCGCTTGTTTCTTCAAACACTCCTATCAGTGTTCATGTTTCTCAAATGTCCTACAGAAGTTGTCTGTATGGCTACAGGGAACTGAATGACATGATTGCAGATTTGGAAAGGAAATTAGCAGCTGCAATGGAGGATAACGAATCTGTATTAAAGGGATCTGTCACATTGGACAATCCAAAGACTGATGATACAAATTCGAAGAGAAAATACTTCATGGTTATAGGAATAAATACAGCTTTTAGCAGTAGGAAACGAAGGGATTCAATCCGTAATACTTGGATGCCACAAGGTGAAATCAGTAGTACCAAATTTGAACTTATCTTTTGAGTTAGTTTGAGGCAATTGTTTTACTATCAAACTGTTCTCATGGGGAAAATCTTTTAAAGGTGAAAAAAGAAAGAAGCTGGAGGAAGAGAAGGGCATAATCTTACGCTTTGTAATAGGACATAGGTAAGAAAATGGTACATCTTTATCCTGCATTTCTTCAGGTATTTGTTAAGAATTAATGGATTCCCATAATTAAGGAAGTCGAAGTCTTGGTTGGTTGTGAATACTTTAGGAACCATGAATTAGTTGTTCTCTTGGCTGTATAGAAACTAGAAAACACATAACTGAAGTAATTAAATAGAACTTTTCTATGTCCTGTCTTTATGTTGCTAGTTCAACATCTGGTGGCATTCTTGATAAAGCTGTTGCTGCAGAGGAGCTCACAAATAGAGATTTCTTGAGACTGGTAGTGCAATCATTTCCCTGTTTTTTGGTTCCTCCTTCAGAAACTGTGTCGAACTAAATATTAAATGCTAAGAATTATGTGCAAATGACACAACTCGTGCATTTACATTTTTGTCCAACAACAAAAGCAGAATCACGTCGAAGGCTATCTGGAGCTATCTGCCAAGACAAAAACTTATTTTGCCACTGCTGTTGCTTTGTGGGATGCAGAGTTTTATGTTAAAGTCGATGACGACGTCCATGTCAACTTAGGTAAACTTCGAGACAAGTTTTTCTCTCTAGCACATATTACGTAGAGGTAGAACAGAATGTTTTTCTTCTGTCAGGTGCTTGATTAGGCTGCATTATATGCTTCTTGATTTATGATTTGTTACAGCTACTCTTGGAACAACTTTAGCTGCACATCGAATGAAACCTCGGGTTTATATTGGTTGCATGAAATCTGGACCCGTCCTTTCACAAAAGTGAGAATTACTTCCTTTATGTTCTCAGTTAATGTAAATTGTTGCAATCAGTAAGCTTAGATGTCCTAACCATCCTTTTTGGGCATAGGGGAGTAAAATACCATGAACCAGAGCATTGGATATTTGGTGGAGAAGGAAACAGGTACTTTCGTCATGCCACCGGGCAGCTTTATGCAATCTCAAGGGATTTAGCAAAGTATATACTAAAGAATCAGTAAGTTCCCATCATTATCACAACCAAAGGTCATTTCGACACACTATTTTCGAATCAATTGGGAGAGTTTTTGTGCAGAGATGTGCTGCACAAGTATGCCAATGAAGATGTTTCTTTGGGATCTTGGTTCATTGGTTTAGATGTGGAGCATGTTGATCATAGGAAACTATGCTGCGGTACCCCACCTGGTAAATTTTGAAATCTCTGTGCCTTTTTCCTTTTGTTCTTTTTTTGTCATTGGTTACGAAAGCACAAAATCACTGCCACGAAATGGTAACATTATATCTAATGGAATCTCTTGTGGAAGATAAGATTGTGAGTTGAAGGCTGGGAGTGGAAGTCCATGTGTGGCTTCATTTGACTGGAGATGCAGTGGCATCTGCAGGTCTGTGGAGAGGATAATGGAAGTTCACCGCCGTTGTGGTGAAGATGAGAATGCTGTGTGGGGTACGAGCTTTAGATAGAATCATTGCTTTACAAAGTTACAGACCGACAGATAACAGAGAAACCAAAGCATACCCAAATGATGAAATGATACACATTTCCGACATGTCGTTCAGGAGACAAGCCTCGATGCCATTGCCAACCAGAAAGAAGACTGAAAGGTCGCTCTATTTATTTAGAGGTGGGGAAAGGCCCGTGCTGAAACTTCTTTAAACACGATCTCTGAATCACTGAAAATATTTCGGCAGCCTTATTATTTTTTCTTTTTTACTTTTTTTTTCCTATATACTATATAGTAATCATATAATTATACAGAAAAGAAAAAGAATCAAATCGTGATGCCCTTGTCAGTACTCTCTCTCTTACATTTTTCCTTATTTTTATTTTCAATTTACTTTATATTATTCTCCTACCTTTCTATCTAAATAAATCACAATCTTTTCATTTTAAAAAAAAAAAATTATGATCGATTAGATTTATTAATAAATTTATTTGATTTTTTAAAAAAGTTTTCATTTATGTTTAAAGTAAGTTTAGTTTTTTTTTTCTCTTTTTAGCCCAATAAGTTGGGGATTCAAATCCACAACCTAATACGTTGGCAAAGTAAGTTTAACTTTTGTTTTGAGTCTAGGGTTTTCAATTGCACCTAACCACTTTAGACGTTATTTGTTTAAATTTGATTTCTACTTCAGCTTTATTTATTTATTTATTTATCTTCTTTAAAGACTCTTTTTTGTGCTTGCTTTTCTACTCTGCCCGCGCATGTATAATTTTCTCCATATTTCTTTTTACTTGCATTAGTATGGTGTAGTAATTGTTGTGGAAAATGAGATATTTTTGTAAATATTTAATGTAAAACAGTATAATTACGTAAATATCCTGAAAAGCAGTTTCTAAGCCCACAAGAGTTTCAGTGGGCCAGATACAAGTGGGCCTCAAATGTATGGCCCAACACAGTGTAACTTGTGATACAGAGAATCTTCCCCAAGGAGAGAGAATTTGTAGGTATACGTGTTTGAACTGGAAAGAGGAAGAGGCTGCCTCAACTACGAAATTCACGAGTCATGATCAAGTAGTATCTTTTTTTAAATTCTCCTTTTATATCATCCATTGTTCTCTTCCCCCTTTTGCCAATTGATTACTGAAACAGTGAAATTCCAAACGCCTTTTTTGATCGAGTTTTGTATGCCAATTCAAGCACTCTTTGCTTTCTTCCTTGTTTCGTTTTGATTATACTTTTCTCTGGATTTTGAGATCGAATTTTTGTGGGATTCTAACGTGCGAGAGCAGTCGTAGCGTGAGATTCTGATTTCTTCCATGGCTAGAAGCTCGTTCAAACTCGGAATTCCTTTGGGTAATCATTTACTCTACCCCCGCATCTTTGTTTTAGTATATATTTGGGCATAATTCACGTATTGTTATTGAGATTTTACTTCGGGGCCCATTCATGAATTGATGCACTGGGCGAAGAATTGGGGGACATGGAGTTGGAAGTCCATTGAATTGCTTAGAATTTGTTTGAATTGGTTCCTTTGTTGGCGAACTTATATGAATTCAAGCATTCGCTAGTCGAAGTATCTTCGTGTTGTGTTTTCTGTGAGCACCGAATAAGCCAATATCTGTTTGGTTTCATCTTTGTTTTCGTTACTTTATCTCCTTGTCGGTAATTCTATTCAGTAAAATCTAATAGAGAATAGTCAGAATTATGTGATTCTTCATGCATAACTATTATTTCTTACTTTGTTGGGATCTTCACTTCTCAGAAAGGAGACAGGCTGAAGCAGCTCGCATAAGAGAAAAGTACCCAAATAGAATACCAGTAAGAATAATGTTCCTAATTAACTTCTTTACTTAGTATGATCTCCTAAATTTACTTTGGTTTTGGTACTAATTCAAATAAGTCAAACAGGTGATTGTCGAGAAAGCTGGGAGGAGTAACATTGCCGACATCGACAAGAACAAGTACTCTCTCTTCTCCTTCTTAACTGATAATTAAAAGTAGATACTAGCGCATATGTTTGCAGTAGCTGTAGTAATATGTCGAATGAAAATAATGGAATGCTAGCATGTAGTTTGAATGTCGAGTTTATTAGAAACAGAGGTACCTAAATCAATAATAAAAATCGTTTACTTGGAAGATATCACTGACTTTTAGATGATAGCTTCATTGAAGTGATACGTGGAAAAATGCATAAAAGTGAGTCTATAAAGCCATAATCGGATGCATGTTATTGCAGCAACTCCAGTCCTATTGTCAGCGTGAATCAACATATTAATATTGAAATCTGGTTGATACTTCATAATTCTGGATAAATCTCGAATACAAAGAAGTATTTTTTTTTCCTTCGTACAAGCAATCAGTTGATTCATTTTGGAAGTTGCCAATATCATATACTAGAAAAAAAATTTTAATTTTTGTCGTTTTTATCTTTTCTACCGCAGATATCTTGTCCCAGCTGATTTGACTGTCGGACAGTTTGTTTACGTGGTACGGAAACGGATTAAACTTAGTGCTGAGAAAGCAATATTTGTATTTGTTAAGGACACACTACCTTCAACTGGTGAGAGATGATCTTTTTTTCTGCGGCTCTGATCTCTCCATAAGCATTATAATAAATTCTTCTGTGCAACAGGTGCATTGATGTCTGCAATTTATGAGGAAAACAAGGATGAAGATGGGTTTCTTTACATGTCATACAGTGGAGAGAACACTTTTGGGTTCCTTGGAGGACAACGACAAGTTTATTTGTAAATTCTAGCTACGCCCTTCCATTTCAATCAATGCACCAGCTTTCTGTTCCGTTCGGTTCTAGTGTATTAACTTTCCATCACCGATATTAAAAGGGTGCTGCCAAAGCGGCGCCCAAAATGTTTTAGCTTATTTCCTTCTCTCAATTCAGCTGTGAACCGATGAAATAGTTATTGTTGTCTTTCTTATTTGCATATCAAGCAGCAAAGTGATTTAACTTTCTGATCATTTTAGACATAACCCTTAAACTAAAATTTGATTTTGATTTCCAGAGATGGTAACACAGGTACCAGGATGAAACCTGAACTCCAGTGCTGAATCAACTCTAAAGCTAAAAGACACCATGTTTGCTGACATTCAAATACAAATACCAGAATCATGAGAATGTTCAACCTTCTGCTAACAAGAGTACATCTCTCCCTCTCTCTCTCTCTCTCTCTCTCTCTGTAATTTTGGTGCCAAATCTGCCCAATTTACTTGGAGTTTTTCTTGCGTGGGTTCATGATCCACTTGATTCCATTGGAAATCCCACTTCCAATCTTTTTAACACCCGCCACAGTCGCCGCCTTGGCCTTAGCAAAGCCAGGCTTAGAACCCGCCTTCTTGTCGGAGCTGCGGTCTCCTTTGACTTTACTGCCGTCGTCTTCTTCCATGGCGCCAATCCCTCCGGCTCCCCATTGGTCGGCCCAGCTGGGTGCTTCTGCAGCCATTGTGTCTATTTCCCAACACCTTAAACTTTGACACTATCCATTATTGGTGCTAGTACTAACACAGTAATCAAACTTATGTCTAAATATAACATATTCTTTTTCGGATATCTATTAAATTTACCCGGATTAGTAAAGCAAACATAAACTTTTCCCTTTTCTTCAACGTACACATAGACAAACATAACTCGGCTATATTTAGGAACAGAGAGATCAGATCTAAAGATTTTATTCACAAGAGTGGACATATCATCAACTTGAAGAAGCAGAAACAAAACAAATCTGAATCAGAAAGATTATATAGTGATAGTCGTACCTGGGATCGAAAACGGGAAGAAGAAGTGAAGAAACTTGGTGAAGGAATTCGAGGAAGATTAGACAATAATTGGCCTTTAGAAAGCAGCAGCTGCAGCACAGAGGGCCATAGGTGGATGGGCTGTCTTTTACTCCCGCTGCAATATTACTTTTTTAAAGGACTTGCCAACTCCATCTGGTCTTTCCATCTAACGAAGCAAACTATGTCTTTTTGGCATCTTTTTCTTTTCTTTAAAAAAACAAATATGCATCTTTAATCCTCCTCGTAATCACAAGGCCCCTAAACTTGGACCAGATGTCTACTGATATAACCTGGGTTCAAATTCAAACATCCAATCAAATCAGGCGGCTGTTTCTTCACTCTGCTTCGTTGATGAACAAAGTTCCTTCCAATCATCAATTATTCAATAATCACATGTATGTTCCCTATATTAACTTAGACCACCAAAGTACATGATTAGACTTTTTAACTGTTCATTCACAAGATCATCATAAAAATTGGAGGGGGCCGGGCCGGCCGTGGGGCATCGGAATAAGAGTTGGTCCAAAAGGGAAAAATAAAAGATTCAAATTATAGTATTCGAGGGGGAAGAATATCAAACTCAATGGGCAAAGTTCGAAATTCCGACAGATAGAAACAAAACTGTCAGCAACAATTTCTTTCAAGTTGACTAAAATGGTTGCCCGGAATAAAAAATATAGACCACCAACATTCTCGAAGGACGAAGTGAGTTGTAAGACTGATTAATTAATTGATTCATTTCATTTCTACATCGTTCG